ACGGCATATCTGCAGCAGAGATGCCAGGAGTTTGCCTGCAGCATCTCCTGAGCAGTCTAGGAGAAGACAGCTTGCGAGTGGGAAACCCATCTCTCAATGAGAGTGTAACTCCATCCATCATCTTCTGGCTGGAGACTCCTTTCCTGTTTGAGCGTTAGCCTTCCCCAGGTTACACAGTGAGGTAGAGGAAGGCCTATGACTTCAATGGGTCATGCAGTGAGGTGGAAGAGGGCCCATGACCTTGATGGGTCATGCAGTGAGGTGGTGGAAGAGGGCCCATGACCTCAGCGAGTGTAGGCAAGAGCTGTGTACTCACTCCTGGTATGACTGAGTGGGCAGGTCTGACTTGCTCACGTCCCTGCCCTGGGCTCTGGGAAGCTCTTTCATTCAGAAATCTGAGTAACCTGTGGTGTTCTGATGCCTCCAGTTTGTGGAAGATTTAGTCACCAGAAATCCTACCTTTTCTGTTCCTGGCTGTAAATGTTGATGAGACACCCCTGTCAGAGGTGAGTCGAGAACTAGTGTTGTAGATGCTAGCAGAGACACCTGCGATTTCTGCTTTTTAAGAAGTGATACAAGTGTTGTCCCAGCAAAAAGCAACCACAAAGCATGGTGGTTCTTCAGAACTGATACTGCAGAAGGACACAATTCTTTACATGTTTTTATTTTTGTAGTGATCCACAGGAAGCTCAGATTTCAAGGACAGCTGTGCCAGCTGATGGTCCTAAAGGTGCTGTCCTTTTCTCACCCCCCACCGCTGCCCCTCTCCCACTCCTCAGCTCTCACTGCTGGAGCAGCCTTTGTGTGCATAAGTAGCAGGAGTAAACAGGGCCTCTCTTTTCCTTTAATTAGCTTATCAAACAAAGTTTATTTGGTGAACTTATGTGTATAAACCAATGTCCAGCTCAGTTACTGCTATCAGTTTTTCAATACTTTTTTTTTTTGCTGCAGTTGAACATCTATTCATTGAGGCAGATGGGGAGAACTGAAATAGTTAAGATTCAGTCTGTTTTTTCTAGAATAATTGATGTTCTTGACTGCTTGTTTCTGCTGGCCATGATGTGGAAATCATGGCAAATGCTCTTTCAATCTAGGACTAAGTGACAACCTTTTCAAAGCACATTGCGTATCAGCATTTTCTTCCATGGGCAAGCATCCTTCACTCTCCTTTTGATTTTTAATACTTTATCAGATCATGGTTTCCAAGCTGAACAACACCCCCTCATTTTCAGAAAAGTTTGAGTTGCTTGGTAAAGTTTTTCTTGGAAGATATGGCTGGTAATGATGTAGTGTAATATGAGAGTAAGAAATTCTTTTAACTTTAAAAAATGGTATTGTGAGTGCAATTTAAGCGATCAGAAGGCTCAAGCTCCTATTCTTTTGAGTCCTGTGTATCAAACAAACTTGTAGCAGGTTCACTCACAACTGGTAGGTTGGAGCTTACGAGGCCAGTTATCTGTGCATGTCTGGCTTCACCGAAGCTATGCAGATAATCAAGATTCATATGTGTGTTTTTGAACAGTGCTATGTGTTTCTTTAGCTTTCAGTATGCAAGTAAGTTAACTAAGGAAACCTTAGAGTTGAACAAGGTTGAATATGCATTCTGCTTCAGTGGTTCGGTGGTAGTTTGTTTATTTGTTTTTTTCCACGCTAGGTACTTTTATACCATTGTAATGAATTCTAAATAGTCCCTGAATGATACTGGGTTTGGTCATATTCTTCTGCTGAAGGTGCTTTGGTTCTTTTGCAACCACCTGGTAATTTCTGAATTTGTGTCTTACCACTCAATGTAGTTTCTAAACAGCTACTGAACTGAAGAATGGTGATCATGCCCATTACTCCTACAGAGTTACCTGGATGAATCAGTAAGACAACGAAGTGTGTGGTCAGGTCTGGTCCTAGTTAGCGAAGTGCTTGATGGTGCGTGTGGTTGAAGGCAGTTCTGCCATTTGAAATTCTTGCAGGGGTGGTTTGTCATGGCTGTGTCCAGAATCGTCCAGTTTGTATTTCCTCATATCTGGGTGATAGTTTTTATTGCAAATCCACATGTTTATTCTACGTGGAGCTTTGTGATTGTTTTCATTATTACTTTTGCTGGTCCTGCTTTTAAGGATGTCACAGATGAGAAAACGTGGAACATCTGTCTCTCTCCTTGCTCTCTGTAGCACAGTTTAAGCTGTAGTCATGCCATCCTGGGGTCTCATGTGGATAGTTCTCTCCATGTGGTTGTAGCTGGTACCCCCTCAGAGGTTTGCATGGAAAGGAAGGTAGACTCCTTGCTAGCTGTCTCCTCCCATCCACCACTCACACCAGGCTGAGTCTTGTAAAGTTATGTGACAGGGCTCACTGGCCTTACTGAATTGTGGTTGCACTGGGTTATGTCTTCATATCATAGGAAGGGCATCAGTGTGATTTAACCAAGAATAAATAAGAATGACTTTGTAGTCTTGCTTTTGTCACTGCCTATTGACTTTCTTCCAGATCTTGACTCTGAATATGCTGCCTATGAATATTCTATAGATTGGTTTTCCAGTTATGCTGTTGTTAGTCTAAACAATGTGGTACAGTGGTTGCTTCTTATGTGCAAGGTAAAAAAAAAAAGGGCTTACCTGCTCTATTAAATGCACACATGCATGAGGGGAGAAAATGAAGGGGGTTATTGAATTCTTAAAATATGAACTATGGATTTTAGACAACACTGGAAGTGTTTGATGATGAAATGCTGGAAAACGTGTGTCCAGATTTACAAAGGAGGAGTTCTGGGAGATCTTACTGTATATTCCCTAATCTCTGGTCAGAAAGACCCTAATTTAGGAAACTCTTAAAATCATCCCTAAATTTATGTGTGTGCTTAATTCTCATTGATGTGCAGAAGTACTTATAGAAATCAATTCAAGGAAAAGAATGCATGAAGTGTTTACTGCTAGCTGGGATTTTTTTTCTGATTGTATAAAACAGAAAACTTTATTCAATGTATGATCATCACATAAAAAGTTACAGGCATTTCTTACCTTTTCCAGATATTTTTTGTAGGTTCTTTCCTCTGCCCCCGGTTCTAAAGGATCATAGAGGCTTTAAAAAAAAACTATGGTGGTGTTTTTGTTTTTGTTTTTGTTTTTGTTTTTTAATTATGAAAAAGCAGTTCTTTTCAACAGTTAAAAAATGACATGGTGTTTCAAACTTAATGTGCTGGTTTGGCTGGTTTTTACCTCCTTCCTTTCAAAATATACTGTTGCATGGTTTCCTTATTCATAGATGAGAACACAAGTAGGCTTGAGTATGTTTGGATAACATACGGTGCATGTTTCTTTCTATGTGTGTATGTGGTGAGAGACTATGTAGATATAGTAAAAGCATTACCAAATAAACCACCCCGTGATCTGCATAATGTGTTCTGTAATTGGTTTACATCCGAAAAAGGGCAAAACTTACTTGCAAATTGCATTAACATACTATGAAAATGTCATCTTCCATTACGCTCTGTTAAAGCAATTATGCTACGTGCTGTGATACATAAATGTAGGCAGTTACAGGATGCAATATTATTTTTACCCTAGGCAGGAA